ATCATTAATCAGATGACAAATCTTTTTGAATATAAGTAATCCGGTATTGATTATTTATACTTTTAAGTTCCAAATAAAATCATATACAATGGTTCATAAGAATCGTATGAGAACGTTTAGAGTATCTTGATAACGTTTTTTTTTCTTTTTATAATTTGCATTTACTTTGAAAAAGAGAATGAAGTGAAAGACCTTCGTATATAATTTATTTATACTCGATAAATCTCACTGAAGTATTGACGCGCTTTTATAAGTAAAATATTTTGTTTAAATATTATATTTATGGATTATGAGGAACAACATCGCTTAAATCCTTTTTCTTTCTCAACTGACTAAATTTAATTTTAGTAGATCATCGATCTCCTTCTATAAATAATCAAAAGAAAAATAACTAACATGATAATATTAAAAATGTTTACTTGATATTTTTTATTTGACGAAAAGAAAGAAAAAGTCGGTTTTTTTTATTTCAATAATTTAACTCAAGACAGGAAATTTTATACTTCAATACGTTTAACAGGAGGTAGTGTTAGAACATAAAAATATGACTTTCAAAACTTCTTGCTGCAAAACCTTACAAATATGTTATTAAACATCATATTCTTCACACGTTATATTCGCTAATCAAATCTATTGTGTGTTTACTCAACAGCATAACTTATAAATTTTTTTTGCACGAATAGTTACATGCTTATATTTTCAGTTCGATTTTTCAGTGTTATCGTAAGAATCTCGTAGCAAAACAATCATCTACATATCTCTTGTTTTTCTTTAAATACAATTGATAGAATATTCTAAGAATCTGAATACAAAAGAACATTTAAATAATGTCAAATAGTATTTCATTCAACTAGACTAGTCATTGATTACATGGTACAAAAATAAAATCCTATTCTAGTGTACATGTCAATTAAAAGTAAATGATTTATACTTCTAAAAAAATATTGCACCTAGATATCTTAATAAGAAAAGCAATAGATACCACTTTCGAAACAAATATGTAAATCAGCGAGATAAAATATTCAGGAAAAATACTATTCTCAAAAATAAAATCTTTATATCATTCATTTGCAAAATAAACTCAATACCTTTATACAATAAAATTTCATAATAAATGTCATACGACTAAATAAAAGTTATTCTTATTCATTTCAGGTATCTTTCAAAAACTTTTCTTAATATTATTCTAAATTTAAACGGCTTCAGACCAATAAGTAACTGTACTTTTTTCCCCCCCGGAATCACATTAAAACTCTTTGAATAAATTTTAAATAAATCATCTCTAAGTTTTCTTTTTAAACAATGTTCATAAACATAAAATATCGGCTTCTTTTTCCACATAGTGTAGTATATATTATAAAAAGGGAAGAAAAAAAAAAAGAAAAAAAGACAGGACCAAAAGTAGCAGAGTAAAGGTTGTTGATGATGATAAACACAACAGTGAATAAGACGACGATACCATGACGAACAAAAGAAGAAGAAAAAAAGAGAGAAGAGTATGACGCTGTAAGAGAAAAGCGCGCAAAAAAAAGAACGTAGAATAACATCACTCACACACGTACACACATCTACACATGACAACGACAAGACACAAGTTATGAGAAAAAAAAAGAAAAACGTTGTTGCCTGTCAGACGTCATTCTTATTCTTCTAAAACTGCAAATTGTTGGACGAATGCAGGATCTTTGCTGTTTTATATTCTTATTATATACATTGATAATAATAATAGTAATAATTAAAAAAAAAATAAACATCAAACTTATGCGACTATCTAGAAGAATTTGTATTATACGATGATACAGGCGCAAATTGTGGTTGTACAGGCGACTGTTGTTGAAGTAATTTAGAAGCAAATAGATCTTGTTTCAACACAGGATTTACTTTTTAATAAAAAACAAAAGAAAAGAAAAACAAAATTAATGTATATATACATATATAACAGAATAAAATATTATTATTAATTTTCTTACCATCTAACTTTTCATAATCAATTCGCATACTTTTATGTGTTTTACGCCAAAGTTGTACATCAAATACACAATAAACACCTGTTTCATATGTATCATATTTTTGATCAGGCATTATATTTTTTATTCGTGTTAACCATATACGTTCTTCTTTATGATAACGCCAATCTCGTCGATATAATTCAGCAGCAGCTAATAATTGCACATGATCATTACCAAATAAATAAAATAAAAAAAATAATGTATCTTCATTTAATGTATTGAAATTAAGTGGAGGTAATTTGTCACGTATTTGTAATCCCATTTGATATTCAAATGGAACTTGATAATCAATTTCATATGGTCGGGCTTGACTATCGGAAAATGGAGATAGAAATGATGGATATAAATCATTTTGACTTTCCATACCTAGAATAAAAAATTTACTTGAAATCAACGACATATGTAGATCTTTTTGTTTTGAGCATTTTTTCGAACAAAATTCTTTTGTTTTGTGAAACAATATAATAAAATTAATTCTCATTTCAAATCAACTCTATTGATTTTTCAAAAATTAGAATAACACATATGTATGTTGCTCGTATCAATTCATCAAACAATGCCAATTAGATCAATGATAATTAGTACGTATCAATAGATCTGAACTGTTTCGAGATGAGAAACGTCTATATACATCTCCGATCTTGAAAGAGTTAATAATGAATTGTTATGAACATAAAAATAAAGAAGTCAATCAAAATTTGTTTAATCATTAAAAAACAAACAATATTTATTAAATTATAAAAGTTTTCAATAAAAATACAAAAACTAATTGAATATTATTAAAGTTTATATGGAGAATGTGTATTTAAAAACAAATGAAATGATAAGAAAGTTTTGAACCATTGTTATATATCTATTTTTAATTATTCAGAAAATGTTTTTCTTTTAATTTATGTTTAGAAATTTTCATTTTATGAGTATATTAATATTTATAAAGAAAATACATACTAAGTCCCAGTGTAGTCAGATCATAGTTTAGTAAGGTTGATGTTTCAGGATTTTTTTCTGCTTGCTGAATCATTTGTAGAAGACCAACAAGACCATATTGATCTGTAATTGTCGATGATGGTAGACCATTTATATTTGTTGTTGATGTACTTGATATTTGTTGTGGGTTTGTTGTTGATGATGTTGAATTATTTGTTAAGGATGTTGTTTTATTATTAACTGATGTTTGACGTCGATTTATTAATGTACTTAAAGCATCAATCGATGTTTTAAATGATATTGGCGATTGGGATTGAGAATGTTGTTGTTGTTGTTGTTGTTGTTGAGATGAACTATATCCATTGGTTATTGGTTGATGAAGATTGGATGACGACGATGATGATGAATATTGACTTTGATAAAGTGGTTGAACATTCGTAGATGATGATGTTGGTTCATGAGAATTACTTCGATGTGGTAATGGAGGAAAATCTTCTTGTTGTAATTCAAACTAGATATTATAATAATAAATTATATTCAAAGAAAATACAAAAAAAAAAAAAAAAAGAATTTATTCAAATATTTTACATTTTTTTCAATTTGTGTTTGAGAGGATGATGCTAATGCTGATGCCATAGTTAATCCAAGTATACTATCAAAATGTGATGACGATGATGATGAACTTAAAGGATTTGTTTGTTGATTATTAAGAATATTTTGTTGTTGTTTCATTAGCAATTGTTGTGTCAATGTCGATGATGAGGACGATGATGTTGGTTGTCCTATTGTTGTCCATTGTTTTCCACCACCAACTGAACCAAATATAGATGGAGAATTCGATACCAGTGATGGAGGTATTGTTGATACTCCTCCATTACTATTAACATGTGAATATGGTGATGATGTTGACGATGTTGTTGAATTGGCAGCTGATGCCAAATTAAGATACGCCATTATGTTGAAAAATGAAAAATTAAATGAATTTTTAATTTTTACAAAAGGAAAAATCTTAAATAGAAAATAATAATAAATATTTATTAAACGACAACCGCAAGTAAACAAATTCAATATATATGCGTAGGTAGTAAGCAAAGATAAACTGGACAGATAAATAGTAGAACAAAAAGAGGAAAAAATATATAAATATATCCCAATCAACAAAAATCATAATTTCTTTTTTTGTTGTTTTTTTTTTGTATCAATCATGGTGATAATCTATAAATATAGTCATTATCCTAAGTGAGACAAGAGCCTAGGATGGATGAATGAATTGACACTCAGTAAAATGGATCGCGACAATCGTTTTCATTTAATCAGATTGTATTTTTTTTATGACAAAAAAAATGAAATTTAAGCATAAATTTTATATATTTATTTAGAAAAAAAAAAGAAAATTACATTTAAATTACATATAAATTCTAAATGACATGTGGCGACAGATGGATTCTTAGTTGTAAAACGAATAAAAGTCATTCAAAATATTTTGTTTATTTACCTGATCATGTGAATAGAAAAAAAAAAGAACTTTTTGTAATCCTTTCAAATAAACACCTACATCGAAATTCATTTTTATTAATTTCAAGAAAATAAAACATTCATGTATTTAATTCAAAATAAAAAAAAAACAGTCTTCCATTTAAATATTAATTTGAATTTGAATTTATTTTATTATTCTGTAAATAATCTAAAGAAAAATTCTTTATCCGATCATTTATACAGTGAGTTTAGATTTGGCTCTATGAGAATGAAAAAAAAAAAACGTCTTTGTATTTTTCTCAAACGCCTCATGCTGTGTAAGATATAATTGAATATATATTCTCAAGAAAACAAAACTTGAATTATAAAATTCTTTATTACTATTTCAACTTTTCGAAAATAAAATACGATTAGTCATGATGTTGAGTATCTATGATAGTCACATATGCTTTATCATGATGATATATGATAGAGCATCTTTTTTTGCTATTGTTGTAATCTTCAGTCAGCATAACTATATAGTTATTTTTAGTTTCGAATGTAACAAGTTTAGTTTTTTTTTTTTCGATTTCAGATTTAATTTATGAAATGCATTTAACTTATTTATTAATAATCTACTCATTATTTCTATTTATTAGTTTAACCACGCAAGATGCATCTGTGATTTCTTTTCAACCTTCCTCTATTAGTCTTACCATTGGTGAAAATAAATCAGTAACTGTTCGTCTTCTCAAATCAGATATTACTTTTCCTATTTCTCTTGTATTTCTTTATGATGGTAAACTTGATAATACACAAGGTTATATTTATTCAGTACCAAATATAACATTTACAAATCATACAACTGATGATCAAAGACAACCTATTATCATAAGTGGTCGTCATCAAGGTCATTTAGTATTAGCAGCAAATTCATCACAAATTAATATATCATCATTAGTAGATTTTCTACTTATTGATGTAGCTCGTAGTAATGTATTAAATATATTTATACAAATTGTTGGGTGGATTTATTTTCTTGCATGGTCTATATCATTTTATCCTCAAATAATATTAAATTTTCGACGACGAAGTGTTATTGGACTTAATTTTGATTTTTTAGCATTAAATATTATTGGACATTCATGTTATTCAGTATTTAATGTTGTTTTATATACATCTTCAAAAGTTCAACAAGAATATTATGCTAAACATCCACATGGTGTTTTACCTGTTTTACTTAATGATGTAAGTTTAATTTATTAATTAAATTTTCAATAGATTATTTAGACAAAATTCAAAAGAATTTTTCTACGAACCACTAAAAATCGTTGTTCTCATGTAGATTAAGAGAATAACTATTGTTTATTAGATCGTATGGAAAGAGGATCTAATCTTTTCGAAATTTGAAGATAGAATCATCGGTTTTGCTTACTGATATTTAATTTATTAACGAAGTTGAATTCTTTTTACCCTTACGAAAAACTAAGTCTATCATTCAGTGATTTTTGAGCCTCTTAATAGAGACTACAGAAAGTTGAAAACACTGAGTTGGAATCAAAATTTTAGATTCTTTCCGAGTATAGGTTCAACATTTTTCTTAGAATTTCTGGTTTAGAAATGAGTTCGACATTTAAGAGACACAAAAATTAAATTTGGAAGGACAAAATAAATATTTTTCACATTAATAATCTTCTTTGCTACATACGTTATATTATCGATGTATTTTGCATAACATTAAAAACGAGATTGTCTTCTACAAAGATATATAAGAACTAAGAGATAACTTAACTCATTTTATAAGTCTATTTTTTGTAGAAATCAGGAAGATTACCTATCTTTTTTACTGGTCTTAAAAAGTTCAGTTCATAACTCTTAAATCAAAAGTCTTATAAAAATTTCGAAGTCATATTCAGAAAGAAAACAAAATTTCTGCAGACTTTTTTGAGAGATTGAAAAATGAACAAACGTTATGTCGAATTTCTTTTTCCATATGTCGCTATTATGTCGAAGCGTACAAAATTATTCACAAATATCTTCAATCATTAAAAATGATGAAGTAATTTTTTAAAGAATTAAAACAATTTTAAAGCTCTAGAAAGAGATTTTTCAGCTCAAAACTCTGAAAACTATGCGTATTCTAATTTAAGCATATTAATTAAATTCCAGTTTTACGAGAAATCAATTAATTAACAGAAGTTTTCTATTACATTCTGCATATCATTCTTCAAGATAGAGATGTAAAAGTTAAGGTTTTTTCGTACTATGTACCCTAGCTGAGAAAAATCATCTAACCTTTATCTTACCCTGCTAGATCGGTATAGGAAAGATGTGCACGGAACGAAAGATGAAGGTTTGGAAACAAAATGATTCGTGTTAACCTTATCACATCCACACTTATCTTCACTGATATCGTGCTCTGAGAATTGCAGTGTGCATCTTTCACGATCTGCTGCTGGTATAGGGTAGGTTGACCCTGCACATCTCTACTCCAAGGTAGCCTTTTATTACGGGAACGGATTTAAGATGCATAGGTCTTGAAAAAGATATTCATGAAACTGTATAATATATCAATAATATTTTATTTCAAAAAACTCTTTATCTTCTTTATTAAATATTTATTTCATTGAATTAAGATAATAATAAAACAAATTTATAAATTCTAGGTAATATTCAGTTGTCATGCTGTTTTTGCATGTTTGGTAACGATTATTCAATGTTTGTTGTTCGAACGTGGTAATCAACGAATATCTTATGTTGCTCGCTTATTAGGTGCCATTTTTATTGTATTTTTATTTATATCATCAATGATTTCATTATCCCATCATTTATCAACATTATCATTATTATATTTTTTTTCCTATGTTAAACTAGCAATAACAATAATAAAATATTGTCCACAAGCATGGATGAATTATAAACGAAAATCAACTGAAGGTTGGTCTATTGGAAATATTCTTTTAGATTTTACTGGTGGCTTATTCAGTTTATTGCAAATGTTTTTACTTTCAACAAATTATAATGATTGGTCATCAATATTTGGTTCACCAACAAAACTTGGTTTAGGTTTATTTTCGATTTTATTTGATATTTTATTCATTGTTCAACATTATATACTTTATCGCTCGCATGATCGATATGCAAGACGAATAAATACGTCAAATAATGAATTCAATGAAAATTCACCTATTCTTTCAACAAAATCTTAATTAAAAATTGCAATATTTTGTTTTCCTTGTAAAATGTATTCTTTTTTGATTGATAAATTATGCGTGTTTTTTTCTTACTTCTATTGATTGACATTAATAAATAAAATGAATTATACTACTTGGATTTTCTTTTTAATTTATGTGAAATGCGATTGATCGAATGATAAAAAGTTAAATTATAGTGTTAGTCGAGTTATACTTTTTTTTTTTTGTATTTATTATCATAATGAGACCTTTCAAATTTGAATAGGTATGTGATTAAAATTAAAATTGATATGATAAGGCGAACAGTTAATTGTCTCGAACGTTTGATCAATCAGTTAGAACTGTTTGTAGTACAGCGACTATTGAAAAAATAATTCATGAGATAAGACAAATGAACGTAAAACGATTGTATTTCAATATAATCAAAAAAGTTTTGAGCATATACCGAAAGGAAATGAGATGGACGAAAAATAACAGATGATAAGAGATGAATAGAAACAAGTTAACAATTGATAATGCTTCGTATTGTCATCGTGAGGAAAAAAAACGTTCTATATGATGCTAAAAAACTTAATCCGATGAGTTTCGAATAATTGCTTGTATGATTTTCTTTTTAAAAAAAAAATATTTACATACTTTTCATATCTCATTTATCACCATATGGAAACTTGTTGTGCTTCATGTATCGATCGTAGCCTAGAGAATGACTATCTTATCGGTTTTTTTTTATTTCATCAGTAATCATATTTATTTTCAAACTTTGATTATTACACTTGACATTATTCAAAGAGTGATTTCGTTGTTTTCTCGTTATTATTTAGTATTTTTTATAAATTTACAAAACTTTATTTTTTTTTTTTAGGATGAGTGTTTCAGAATCTTTTGTACGTATTGAATCTTGGTTATCTAAAAATGCACCTAATGTTCTTCTTCAATTAAATAAACCTATATCATCAATTGATGAAATTGATAAAGTTGAAACACTCTTAGGTGCAAAATTTCCTCCATCTGTACGTGAAGCTTACGCATATCATGATGGTGAATCGACTGAATCAAAAGGTTTATTTGGTGGTTGGCGTTGGTTACCATTACATGAAATAATTCAATGGAATAATGAACAAAAACACAATGTTCAAAAGTATCATTTTCTAGATTTTAAACCATCATTTATGATACCATTATTAATATCAACAATATCCTCAAATGATTTACGTTATGTTGAAACAAGTGATGATGATGGTCAAGAAGAAACATCAGTTATTGAATGGAATCATAAACATCCAGCTCGTGATGTAAAATATGGAAGTCAGTATTTTTACTTTAGGTTTCAATTAGTGAAACCTGCTAGACAAGGCTTTGTTTTATGGGTTTCTTTTTAGGTTTTGCAAATTATTTATCAACATTTGCTGAGAGACTTGAACTTGGAGAATATATACCTGATGCTAATGATCAAGGAAAAGCACGTGGTCTTATTCTTAAAAAATAACTTGTTTTTTTTTTGTGTTTATGTAAAACAAATACTTCTTTATAAAGAGACAACAACAACAACAACACAGGGATTACTTAGAGCAGTTTACAATTATCGGATCTCTTCTTTCCAATGAGCAAATCTAATTCGTCTTTATATAAATACTAATCTTCTTTTTCTTTTCCCTTGAGAAAATTATTACGTAAAAAAAAAAAAGAAGAACAAGTAGATTTACAAAGTTTTTGAACTGTCGTTTATTCGATTAATGTAGTAATTAATAGCATATATGTTTGGCTTTTCTCGCATGAAATGTACAAGACAATTTACTTATAATAAAAAAAAAAAGACAAAAAAAAAACTTTCGATCAAACGTCTTCAATATCTTGTTATCGATTAATATTTTTGTATAGTTTTCTAATTAAATGCATTTAAAAAATTTCACAAAATAATAAATATATCAATCATCAAAAAAAAAAGTCTATTTGTTTTTTTTTCTTTGTTTTAATTGAGATGACAACTTCTAGATTCCGAATGTATAAAACAAAACAAAAAAAAAGAAAAGAGAAAAAAAAAAGAAGTAAATGAAATAGAGCAATGTAAGAGAAATTCAGCTAATCAACAAAAAAAAAAAAAGAAAAAAATTCAATGCACAGCTAGCTGCTGTTATCGCACACAAAAACACATTCACATAGAAAATAAAAGCGAGATACAACATTTAATAGATCATACCCGCTTATGTCTATCATTGCCATTTGTTGCATCAACAAGTGCAAGAAAAACAAAACAAACAACAAACAAAAAACAATACAAAACAAAACAACTGTTCTGAATGTGCATGCGTGATGAGACAGAATTATAAAGGAATGTAATACGTACATCTTAGCATTTAATCTATGTACGAAAGAGAGAGAGAGAGAGAGAGAGAGAGAGAGAAAGATAAGAAAAAAAAAACGTAAGACGAAATAAATAAACAATTGTACCTAATCTACTATTCATCATATAAATACGAACACGTATCAACACAAAGAACATATTCGATGATGTTGTCTTCTTCGACTTTTTGTTTGACGAATATTATCACTACTAATTGTTCGACTACAAGTACAATTCCATATAGGTCGATTAGAACGTCGTTGATGTAATTGTTCTTCACGAATACCTTGTTCTGTTTGATTATTATTTGAAGAATGTGTAACTGACATTGAACCATCAGGTACAATTATATTTTCTGGTTGTTGTTGTTCTTCACTATTTTCTGTTGATGGTTGATGTAATTCAGTTAAGTAGTCATACATTGTAAATGTTTGAAAACGCTTTAGTGCTACAGAAGGAAAGGGTATAAAATCAAATGTACGTGGTGGTCGTCGTCGAAACCAATCATGTTGTTTTATTTGTTCGATTGTAAAACGTGAACTTTTATCAATATGTAATAAACCATTTAGAAGTGATGCTAAATGTGGTTCAATATCATCAGGTATTGTATAAATACCTTTACCTATGGTTTGAAATAATATATAAATATTATCAGCTTCAAATGGTAGACGTCCAGTAACTAAATTAAATAATGTTACACCACATGACCATATATCAATACAAAAACCACTATATGCATCATCACCATTAGCTATTTCTGGACATTGGAATGCAGGAGTACCTATTTTAGTTTTTTTGAAAGAATATTCAAATAATATTATTTTTTTATATTGAATATAGAAACGATAACAACATTCATCAATGTTTCTTTTGTGCAGAAAAACTTAAGTCATAAGAATTAAAACTTTAATATTTAATTTTCAATTATATAAGATGAGAAAATTGAATTTTTTGTTATAATTTAATTACATTATTTGTAAAATTTGATTAAGATGAATTAATTATATATGAAATAAGACTGAAAAATAGTTCATATTCTTTTACTATAATTTCTTTTTCTCAAGATTTAATTATAAACTATTTAATTTGATTTCATTAAACTGTTCAGTCATTTAAAATCGATCGAAGTAATCGATCATTATTAAGTATCTCTTTTCTTTCGCTTACACACATGTTATCAAATATTTGTCTAAACGTTTTCTGAAAATATTTGTTAAGACCACATATAAAATATTCATAATATGTTTTTGAATATCTATCAAAATCGTACTAGTTTAGTAGAAAACTAAACAACATCGACAAAAAAATTCCATAGGAATAAACGAAAGAAACGTGATATTAACCGCATTAATGATAACAATGTTTTTCTTTTCTTTATCAAAAACTGACAAACCTTGACTTCGTTTGATGGTATCATCAGAACTAAACCTAAACATTAAAAAAACAAAGTTGAATTCTTTCAAAAAAAAAGGAGCATTTTTTTTCTACTTTTCTAATCATTACTTACATATCAAGTTGTTCAGCTGTACCAAAATCTGTTATTTTTAATTGATGATCAACAGTAATTAATAAATTTCCTGGTCTATATAATAGAAAATAATCAAAATAAAAAAATTCAATGTGAACTTTTTTTTGTTTAAATTTTTTTTTTCATACATACTTAATATCATTATGAATAATAAATTTCGAATGTAAATATTCTAATCCATTAATTAATTGAATAAAATATCCATGTGCTTGCCATGTTGGAAAAGCAGTAAGTTTTAATTTAACTCGTTCATTTGAATCAAGCATTTCTTGTAATGATACAACACATAAATCAATAAATAAATATAATTTTTGTTTTTCATCATTACGAATAAAATCATATAATTTAATTATATTTGGATGATTTAATTTTTTTAATATACGTATTTCAGTAGAAGCCATTTTTTCACCATGTGGTGTTTTACGTAAACGACGACGTTGCATAATTTTAACAGCACGTCGACATAAATTTCGACGATCTAAACATTCTTTAACTTTAGCATATGAACCTTGTCCAATAACATCACCAAATAAATATGGTCCTATAAATTTTGCACGTTTACGTTTTAAATAAAAATTAAATTCATCTTCAGATGATACACGTTGAATAGGTACAGGTGTTGGTGGTGTTAAATTAAGTAATAATGCTGCAGTTTGTTCACCATCATCTTCATCTTCACCAAGAAATATATCAATTTGTTCTTGATGTGTTGATGATGAAACTGATGGAGAAAAATGTTGATGGCCATTATTATAACTATGTAATATTGATGGTTGTTGTTGTTGTTGTATGAAAGGATATGTTGAATGATTTATTTCGTCATTTACATCATTGTCTTCTTCTTCTTCTTCATTTATTTTTTCTGGATATTCAACAATTACATTTGGTAATTCTTTTGAATATTGAGGCGTTGTTATTGATGTTTTTTCAGCCATTACCAAGCATCATTTATTCCTAAAAGATATATTTAATTAGATTGAATATTTGAAATTATTTAATAAGAATAAAATAAGAAAAAAACTCAAATATTTTCGTTTATTCGTATTTCTTTATTTGATAATAGCATTGAGAATAAAACTAGAGGAATTAAATTTATTATTTTCTATATTAGAATAGAGAGAGAAACGAAACATTTATGTTTTTGTTTCAAAAACGAAATGTTCTTATTTTATGGGACAATCTATTCATTGTGATGGTTAAACAAAATAACAAATTAAAAATAAGATTTTACCCTTTACTTATTTATCAATAGATGGCAATAGTTGTTTATAAATATATTTTTATTTTTTGACAAAGACAAGTGTGTTTTTATGATAATTATCTATTATTTTTCTAAATATTAATTCATGTATTCTTTGAATATGAAATTTTTATCTTTTAATTATTATTTATTAATTTATATGTAGTTGATTATTATAATATAACTTCGATGGCAGATTGAAAGAGCGAAGATGATCATATTCCCATTTAAGAAATTTTCTTTTTCGTGTTTTTTTTTTCAATAAAAGCGAACAAACCAAAAACAAATAGTTCATAACTGCTTTGAATGAGTCTCAAAATGTGAATTTTTTTTTCTGCTTAGGATTTCTTCCATTTCCATTTCAAAATTCTCGATTTACTCATATCCAATTTCAATTATGTCGTAATTGATTCATTTACACAAGTTTTGCCATTATATTTTGCACTTTTCTTCTCGTCAAAGATCGATTGGTTGATATACTAATATCAAATGAAAAAACACGCATATACGCATGAACAGATACTAGTTATTATTTTTGTGCTCGCTTATTTTTTTTCTCCTTGAGTGAGCACAAAGGAAACTGGCATTTTAGTTTTTCGTCTATTTCTCTCTCTATATACATCGAGTAACGACCTTCGATGTTTTATTTTTCATCTCTCAATTTTGCGCCCATCATTTTTGCTGTACCTTCCTAATAGCTTGTATTTTTACACTCGACAAATATCAATCACTTTTATCAACCACAACTACCTTACAGGTAAGAAGCATACATTTTTCTCCTATTTCATTTTTCATTTTCACGAAACCACAAAATTTTCTATTTATTTCTTTTTGTGTTCGGTGCAACCAAATTTTCACTCATTTTATAGAAAACTATAAACTTTGTCTATTGAAAAAATGAACCAACATTCTACATCACTAGGAGGAATACATAGTGACGATCATTCTTCACGATCTTCCGAAAGTCAAAATATGAGACAAATGTCATCACCTCACGGTCAACAACACGAATTAACTTCTCATATGGATCATAGTGAGGGCAGTGGACGTAAACGTATTCAACGTAGCAGTTCATCAACAAGTACAGATAGTTCAGCATCTGGTCATGGTCGTCCAACTGGTGGTCGAGTTGAAGGTCCAATAATCACAGCTACACAGCAACAACAACAACAGCACCAGCAACAACAGCACCAACAACAGTATGTTGCTGAAGCTGCTAAAATTTCTGCAGGACCGGCCGTTGTATCTCATGGAGGACCTACTGGTGGAGCACAAGTTGTGAGCGGTGGTTCATTTGGAAGTGTTGCTAGTGGTGAACGACGAAAAGGTCGTTTTCGACAAGAATATATTCGATTACCTGAGCAACAACAAGGACAAGTGCGACAAGTACGGCATCGTTTACCAACTCCTGAACCAGATACAATCGAACGAATGTCAGTTTAAGAAATATTCTTCTGATTTAGTTCAAAACACTTTTTTTTTTCTTTGAAATATAGCTATGTTCGACGTACTGGAGCTGAAATTGTAGAAGAAATTACAGAAGTTCCAACAACACCACCACCAATTCTTAAAGAACGAACTGTTGTTGAACCAGCTGGACCACCAAAAGTGGTTAAACACGTAATTCGTGTACCACCAAGAGGTGGCTCTTATGGTGGTCAGTTTCAACAACAAGGTGCTAATGTTCATTATAGCGATAATTTATTAAATGCAGGAGGTTATGACAATGCTCAACAGGTTGCTAGCAGTTACCAACAACCTGGTGCTACAACTTATTCAAGTGGGTATAATGGAACAGCTACCACTGCTGGTCCCTATTCTCCTATTGGCACTGGTTTTAGTTCTGTTGGTGGTAGTGGTTTTGGTTCTGTTGGTGGTAGTGGTTTTGGTTCTGTTGGTGCTAGTGGTTTTGGTTCTGTTGGTGGTAGTGGTTTTGGTTCTGTTGGTAGCGGTTTTGGTGCTGTTGGTAGCGGTTTTGGTTCTGTAGGTAGCGGTTTTGGTTCTGTTGGTCGTGGATTTGGTTCTCTTGGTGGTAGTGGTTTTGGCTCTTTAGGTAGTGGCTATAGCCAACAGGCACCTATTACATTTAGTGTTGGTGGTAGTGGTAGTTCATCTCAGCCTATGCCAGGAATTGGTTGTCATCCTGCTTTCTGTTTTTATATCTGAACATTAATTATTTCAACATTAATGCTAACAAAAATACATTTAAAAACAAAAAGAGGGAACCCTGATTTATATATCTGGTTTGTTGCTATGTAGTTCTAGATACTTTTTTTTTAACGAAAAGGACTTGTATTATGTAATAGTAACAATCAGACAATATATGACAGTTAAAGTTCTTTCTCTTTTTTCTTCTCTTATGAATAAATTATACTTGATTTTTGCTATCTTTTCTTGTTTCATTACCTTATTCTTCATAATGTCTTTTATTTTGAAAAACAAACATAAAGATAGACCGCAAAAAAAAAATTACATGCCAACACATACATACATATAACATCATCATGTTACACATCAGTGCACACTTCCGATAGGCAAGAGAAAAAAAACGATAATGAGAAAATAAAATTATGTACATTTTATTTCTTAATGGTGTCCAAATGGAATAATAGTTACGTTGTCATTACGTTGTCCATAATCAACACAACGCGATGGTTCATTTGGATAGATTTTTTGTGCTCGACTTACAAGACGTTTAACTGCTTGAATATATTTACGTTGTGTTTCGTCATTAAGTACATGAGCAACATGTTTTGAAGCAATTTTTTCACGGCCTGGACGAGGATGGATACCAACCATAGTAGCACCAAGAGGCCTAAAAAGAAATTAAAACTACACATTTTATAAAACAAAAGAAAAAAAAGTATAATAATAATCCTTATTTTTTTTTTTTATATCCTCGTTTTTTGTTTTATCTTTTCTATATATCATTTTTTATCGAGGTTATTTTTATATTAGCGAATCTGTTTACGTCTGAATGTGTCAATGCCTTTACATCAAGTTTTGACAACTGACAGATACTAATATTCAACCATTTGAAAATTTTGCACAAATGATAGCTATTATAAAGATTCTATTTTTACGAGTCATTGACTATATGTATGAAGACAAACGTGTTAATTGACTACGTCAATCATATCGATCACCATCATAGGTCTAAAAACAACAAAGTAACTTCGCTAGATAGGAAAATAATACCTAATCTTATTTGATATTACGAAATATTTTCAATTATATATTTCATTCAATATAAAAGATTATCAACCTATTTCATAAGAAGTCATTTGTTTTATTCTATATCAATATGTAAATATCAATAGAAAAAAAATAGCAAGTTCGATAAAAATCTAAGAGTTGAATTACTATCTATGTTGAATATTTGTTCACACTATCAATGATATACTGATAGTTAATTGATGGTCGGAAAATAGCTATCGGTATATCGAACAATCTATCGGAAGTTCTTTTTTTGTTCGGATTTGAACCACATAGATAAGTCACTTGTCGACAATTCTATTTTCAGTTTTGATTCTAAAAAGCTGTTGTCTATCTTAGAAAGATATTTTATTGTTATTTGAAATTTTAATTACAAAGCAATTGAAGTCTATTGAAAGGTGACTAATGCATATGTAATTAAAGATAGTTATCTTTTTGGACTTTTTCAACAACAAAAGAAAAATATTTGAAGCAAAATTTTTCTTTCATCAATAAACAATATTTTATTTAGAGAAGAGAACATATTTACTAAACTCAAGGTTGCCCTTCTACGTGAAGTTCATGATCATTGCATCATACAGAATGGTATTAATTTAGACAAACGAAAAAAAACAAAATCAAAACCATTTTTGCCAAAAACTGACGAAAGAAAATATTTTTAGATATCGATACAAAAATATATATGTTTATTTTTCGTTCTTCTCACCTGTGAATGAATCGCCATTTACTATGATAATAGTTTTCTCTAATAGATCATTATGTGAATAAATTAGAAGAGCAAAACAATAGATAATATAAACAAACAAAGAATTTTCTACATACTATATTCGTTACATTAACAAAAAAAAAAACTTTTTTGTTTTTAAATCACAATGTATTAGTTAGTCGATTGACTTTGTTAAAGATTAATCTATAGTTTTATTTCATAAATGAAATAAGAATTTTCATATTGATAAACGATTATTTCTATCAGAATTACCAAAATGAAAAGTTAAATATCACAAATTTTTGCTTTCAAAATCGAAAAGTAATTTTTATTGTATTAAGATGCCTATTTTATTGTCCTATTAATATAATATACTTTACTCCTTTTTTTTTCCTTCATCAAAAAGATATTGCATAATTAAAAATAAATAAAAACAATCGAAATCAAAAGTTAAGTCAGACCTGAAAATAATTCAATTTCGAATATATTTTATTATAAGACTTGCAGTTAATTTTATAATTAAACACATTATTCGATATGATTCGTAGCAGTAACAGATGAGTCACTTTCAATACAAGTTTTTTTTTTAGCAGCTACTGAAAGTGTATTTTCCAACATATATGATATGTTTCTTTGACATAAAACTGACACTAGCATACTATCGTTATTAAGAGTTTTGAATGAAATTTTCGTATGTCTTTATCACTACTTGAGAATCATTTGTTGGTAAAATGTTCGAAAAACTATTGAATAAATATAACTTGAGATAGAAAAATGATGTATGTGTCAAAAACTCGATGAATCTTCTGAAATAAAATGTAATATGATTCTTTCTAAAAAAAAATTCCTCTTGAGGAATGTCGTCTTCTCCTGAACTATTACAAAAAGACTTTAATCTTCTAGGATACTATGTGTCTGATTATTGAGTTAATATTCGAGTACTATGAAAAATTAGACCCATGATATCGCCAATGAACAATTTTTCGATAATGAGTCACTTGATGTGATGAGTAAAATCAATAACTAATAAATATATTGACAAGAAAAAGGAGCTAAATGAAGGTAAACTATATACACACGCAGTGTAATGAACAATTACTATATTTTCGACAAGCATAGATATCAGAATAATCTCTGAAGTATGAAAAAAGTCCAAAAATTGGAATTTTTTTTGCCATATAGGAAGATCTGACATTCGTAATTTTTATGTAGACTTTTTTCATTTCATATATTTTTTTTTTGACAATGGTTAAATTAACCATGTCATTTATCTTTCATACTTTCTCGCTTCTTCAAAAAATGATCTTCTTTCATTTGAAGATTCGAAAGATTTCGCGAGCAGAGACAATTTGTCATTATTATTGAGACTATCGAAAATCATTCTTTATTTAAATGTGTTCCACAAAATATTAATTTTTATACAAAATTTCTAATTCTTTTCTCAATTTAGATAAGAAAAAAAAAAGAATTTATTTATCTTGCTTTGTTTAATTAGATTTTCAATGAGAAAATTTAATTTTGTTCATTTAAAATGTGTATTCAAAAAATAATTTGAAAACTGGAATAATTAATCATGATCTATTTAGAATCTTAAATTGAAATTTTATTTTTCGTTTTACAATGGAAGTTTTTTTTTTTGCATCTATGATATGAATGAAATATCGATTTGAATTAATGTTGATCTTCCTTTTATTTCTATTAAGTTCCCCCTAACTTTTTATGTTGCATATGCAAAACTGTTAAACAGTTTGAAAAGCTATCTGTGAAATCAACTTTTCTCAGTAACTTTCTTCTAGACAGACTGCTTCCAATTGTCAGTCAAACTTTTTTTTTTTACTCCCGTCACTTCTAAAAACTATCGAGAGCTCTGTTCATAGCACTTCATGACTAAAGTTAGTGTTGTTTCTCCCTTCATCTGAGTGAGGGCAGAGGGAATGATTCTGAATTATCATGACCTCAGAATACTCCCGACTAGAATCTTCAATAAAGAAAACTTTACTATTTACTGCAATTGTAAAGAGAAATGTTTCATACAATATTTCTTACCATGGTGCATTTCCAATAGCCATTTCAAGAAAAAATTCATTTGCTCGAATATAATTTTTTTTTAAAACACAATTAACAACATTAATTAATGATTCAAGTATATCATCTTGTAATGTATTAGATTTTAATTTACGAAATAATGGTTTCATATAAGCACATGTTTGTGAATGTAATGCTGTTTCAATTTTACCTTGTATAGATTTTTTTTCTTCTAATTCACGATCATTTAATTCTTGTGACCATTTTTTAAGTATAAATTTAAAATAATTTAATACAACTTGACAATCATATGCACGATTACCTTTACGTGTTGTTTTTATTTGTTCCATTATATCAGATAAATCATAACCACTTTCTTCTTTAACTTCTTCTATTTGATTTGGTATTGGTGGTCCAATATCTTGTTCTTCATCTTTTTCATCAGAATTTGTTTCTAATGATGATGGATTATCTGCATGAAGTATAACAGCTAAATATTCACGATCAATTTTATCCATAGCTAAAAAAATAAAAAATATGTTTTTTTTTTAAATATGAATTATATAAACTAACCAGCTTTAAAATCATTTCGTTGTCCTTTAAGTTCAGGTTCAGTTATTTCTAATAGTCTTAATCTTCGATATGAATCAACATCTGATTCTCCAAAAAGACGTATTGGTTGATTACGTTCACGTAATTTTTTAATAACATCTGGTCGTGATGGTAATTGAAATTTTTCATTTGGTATTGTTGTTTTTTCATTTGTATCTTCAGTTGATGTTGATGCTTTATTTGAATTATCAGATTTTGAATAATATTTTTTCCAATATTCTTCATCATGTTTAGCTTCAAGATCACCACGACGAAAAAATTTTTTTTCAGGTAATAAAACATTCATAGATTCAACATTTTTACGTTTACGTTCAATTTCAGCTTTCAATGATTCAAGAGACATTTTTACGTTTTATTTCTATTTCAAATAAATAAATAATGACTAATATATTTGGTGTTTAGTTTTATTTTATTACATACATATATTCTTATTTATTACAATAGAGGTCGTTATATATTATTATAAACTTGATGATTTTTTTTTACCGAATGAATTTTGTATTTTTCTTTTTTGATAAATGACTCTTTTATTTTATTTTATTTTTTTTCTAATAATAAATAATATCTTTTTTCAAATCACAAAGACCAATGTTCGAGGAAGATGGCAATAAAATGAAAATTGCATGAGTCATCGTTAGATTGAACTTGAATCGGAAAAGAAAGAGAGAACGAATATCGGCTTTTTTTTTTTGTTATGATCATTTCCTTTCCTTCGGAAGTCTATTTATTTAGAAAATCGAAATATTTTTATATTCAAAGATCTTATTTGTCGAGTTTTTTTTTTTTTTGCTTCTCAATAAAATTTATAATTATAAGATATGATATTCCCGTGTGTATTGAAACTATTTGGTATTGTTGAAGAAAAAAACCAGATACATTCATTCGCAAAATGAAAAAAAAACACGTATGATGTGAATTACGATGCAAGACATACATTCTTTTTATTTCATTTATTTTTATTCCATTCTGTTTTCATGTACTTTATAAATTGCTAGCAGTAAAGTCAAGTGTAGTGTATTTGTTTCATATTTTCGTTTTTCTTCCTCGTTCGATGTAGTATATTAACAATAAAACAAAAAAAAATGTATATTATTACTACTTCTTTTTTTCGGTGTTTTTTATGTGATTAAGACTAAGCTATTCATTAAATCATCTGTCTGATGACGCGCAAAGTTTTATCACCTAGTATTGTCCGTCTCTTTTTTTTTTTGTCTATTGTCTTCAACGAATCTTGTTTATTTAACGCGGTTGTAGAGCGACGCCGGCGTCTTATATTTGCTCGTATCGTCCCACGCTCTGTCCCCTGTCATCACCTTGTTTAACCTTCATCTTGACCGATATCTCTTTTTTTTTTTCTTCTTCTGTCGTTCGTTCTTGACATTGCTCAGTCTTTACATTTTTCATCATTTAACAGTATTTTTTTCGCTCTAATTTTCATTATGATAAACGTGCAATAAAATCATTTTTTGTTTTGATTGATTGATGAGTTTCATGATAGTAATAAAGACAGCTAAACGATTTATGGTTAGTATGTTACGTGATCTATTGTCACTAATGGGAGGGAGGAAACAATTATTCGTTTTCTTTTCTCTTTCGTTCATGGCTTATCACACAATCAACAATAGAGATGAGCGATGATATTCACAGGTGGATATAGCAAGGTTATATTGATATTCGTTTTTTTTCTTCTTTTAGATGATTGTGTAAGCGAATCTCACATAAATTTAGAACGAAGAATAATACAAAATAAACAAAAGAATGCTGAACAGAAGTTGGGGTACCGAACTTTGGGTATGTATTTATATATATAGATATATATTTTGTTTTTCAATTATTTTATTTTTTAGGACCAATTTGATAATGTTGCTAAATATGCTGAGAAAAGTTTACAATTTTGTGAAAAATATGAATCATTTCTTAAAGATCGTTGTACAGTTGAAGATGAATATGCTAAAGCATTAAAAAAATTAACTAAAACTTATACACCAAAATTAAAAGAACAAGAAGAATTTTATAATAAGTAAGTTCAATTATAAATAATAATAATTCGAGAATATATAATTTAGTATTTTTGGTTTTTTTGTTTTTTTTATATGAAATAGATATACATATACAATTGCATTTTGTTCAACATTAAAAGAATTACAAGATTTAGCTTCACAACATGAATTAATAGCTGAAAATATACGTGAACGTTCAATAAAACAAATACAAATAACAGTAAAAGAATGTCGAGAACAACGAAAAAAATATTTAGATGAATATGCAAAAATAAAACGTCAACTTGATAAACAACATGAATTAATGATTAAAGTATGTCATAGATATGAATCAACGAAAAAAAAAAAAACTCAACAAAACTTATCTAAATGAGACGAATCTTGTATAAATGTCATACTATTAGTTAATCATATCATAAAACATAAGAGCACTCTAAAAATACATGTGTATTCATGCAAATGAATAATCAAAAAAAAACCATTCTCAACAGATTGAATCTTCATATATTTGTTGATGAATAATTTATAATTCAAAATTTATAAAAGATTATCCTAAAAATAATTTCATTCGAGTTATTATGGATTTATTTATGATAGAAAGAAAAAAAAAACACCAAAAGAAATTCTGTTAATAGAAGAATAATTGATCATGTTCTAACGAGGGAACTCTTTCAATTGATAGCATTCGTTCGAGGTTCTATTATTCTCATTGTAAGGCTTCATTGTTTACAGAAAAGTATAGATGTTTTATTAACGCTTTGTTTCTTTAGTTATAATCGTTTTTAACGAGTTTTCAGCTTATTGTAAGATATTATCAGGAAAAATAAAAGAAAAAAGAAATTCTATTTGGAAATATAGATCTCATTGTCTTTATTATATTCTGTTAGTTTTAGCAAAAATAGATTCGTTCGAATCTTTTGTGAACAATCAACAATTTCATTACTCTGTTATCTCGAGACAGAAGTACATATCTTGTTTGTTGAAATTTGTAGGATATTGATTAAGGATTATAAGATTTATTTTCCAGTAAAATTTTTTTTACTTAGTTTTCTTTATAATATATTGCCATAGGCTGAAAATTTGGTAAAATGAAAATAACTTAAGAAGAAAGTATTGATGTCACCTATGCTTTCATATAAACACTAAACTCTAATATTTAAATAAATATGAGTTTAAACCAAGCTTATCAATTAGAAGTATTCCTTTATTACAATACGAAGCACTATTCTGATTTTTAATATTAAAACTAGGCATGTGCAGAATTACTTTATCCTTCAGGATAGAGTCAAGGCAAAGGATGTGAAGAAAGGCTTACCTTGCACATCTCTAACGTGATACTATTTTGTTATTTATCGTTTTTAGAGTATTTCAACTAGGATAGGATTAAGGGAGAATGAAATAAAAACTTCATAGGGCAAGATAAGGGTTAGAAAATTGTGTTCATTCATGATACAGGTTATGAAAAAAAAAAGCTTATTCGGCATATTTTTCTAGATGAAACGCGAATGTTATTTTTCTTTGTTAGATGAATTTTAAAAATTATCATACAAAACAAAAAGATATTTCATGCTACATTTTTAATCTCGATGTTACACATCTTAGTACAGAGACTTTAAAGTTTTTTTTTTTCTGTTGTTAGTCTTTACGAAAATATGAAGAATGTCATGAATCAGCACGTCGAGCGAAAGAAAGTTATGAAAAAGCTCATGAAGATTTGGATTTATCTCGTGCACAATTAGAAAAAGCTCGTGATACAATGACATCAAAATCAAAAATATGTGATGATGCACATACAAATTATTCTTCTCATGTATCTTTATTTAATGATACACAACGTTTATTTTATGAAAGACAATTACCAAGTATTTTAACAGATTTACAACAATTAGATGGTAAACGTTCAGATGAACTTAAAGATGTTTATATTAAATTTATTCAATCACATGCTGAAGTTATACCACGTATACAACGATGTTTAGATGAAATGACTAAACAAACCGAACAATTAAATGCTAATATAGATGCACAAGTTGTTATTGAAGAATATAAATCTGGTTATACAATACCAGATGATGAAAAAGAAGTAAGTAATTGAATATTTTCTTATTAATTATTATTTATTTTTTATTTTTTGATCTAGATTGATTTAAATGCTGGTGATCTTCCATCAATGTTATTAAATGGAAGTAATAATGGACAAGATCAACAAATATATAATATAACATTACTTAATCATCATCATACACCAGGAGAATTAGCACGATCAAATACATTAAGAAGTTCGGGTAGTGATCATAGTAGTCAGAATGGTGTAGCAACAATATATGCAGTAGGTAATGCTAGTGGTCATGTTAATGGTACACAAACATTAATGACAACACCAGCAATGGGTTCAAGAAAAACTGGAGCAAATAAAAGTAGTGGAACAGCAAGTACAATTAGAAAAATATTTGGAAGTTCATCACATAGAAAAGTAAGTAAAAAAAGAAATTGATAATAAAAATACTCAAAGAAAGAATGTGTTGTTATGTTAATTTGTAATATATATATATATATATTCTCTATTTATATATTTTTATTATAGACAATATTGGTAAGTAGAAAAAAAAAAGTGATTTAATTATAGTTTGTATTCCTGTTTGTAGCATCGAAAGAAAAAAGAAATACACTTAAATGTATATTGTAGTACAATGTGCTTCATTTGACTGAAAGATTTCTCAAATTTTCAAAAAATTACTTTTCTAATTAATCTATATCAGAATAAATTTCTTTTGATTTTCGACATGAATTTATCTTTTTTTTTTTTTTAGCCTTCAAATAATGGTAATACAAGTTTAACAACAGTCAATACACCGTATGGTACATTACCACCAGCACAACGTTTAAAAAAATTTCAAGAACAAATTATGAATTGTAAAAGTGAATTAGAAAAAAAACAAAAAGCCAAGTAAATATATAAATTAACTGAATGAAAAAGAAAAAAAAACAAAATAGAAATTTAAATTTTATTGTTGTATTTTTATAGAGAAGGTTTAACAAAAATGAAAATTGTTTTTCAAGGAAATCCAAAATTTGGTGATGAACAAGATGTAACACAACAAATTATTTCAATTGATGAACATATTGAAAAGTTAATAGCAGAAATAAAACGATTTGAAGTAATATGAAATATATTTAGAAATTAAAATTTCATCTTTTTTTTATTTTATTTTAGTCTTATATAACTGAAATCGAACGAACACTAGCTCCAACACAATCTGAATATGATTCAACATCTCATTTACGAACAAATTATGGTTCTGATCAATCAATAAGTAACAATAATAATAATAATAATTCACAACCTAGTACACCATCACAAAATCGAAGGTAATCTAAATAGAAATACATAAAAAAATTTTCATTAGAACATTTTTTTTTTCACTGTTATGTAATATTGCTTTTATCTCATAAATGAACCTTATTAGTTTCCTCTATTTTCGTCATCATTATTCATCACAATATAATAATAAATTAATGAATATCAATCGACGTTGGTCGACAACGGTTTGGTTAGCGAATAATTATATCATATCTTATGTAGAAAAGTACCTTTCTTGAGCACAAAATTTTAAGACGAAAAAGATCTAAAAAGCATGAAAAATTACAGAACAAAAACTCCATTCTTCTTCTTCTTCTTCTTCTTATAGCGATTCTGAATACAATGTACGTTATGCTATAGAATCCATATATCATATTTATCAACCGTTGAGGTTGGTTATATTAATCGTATTTTGGCATGTAAACTTCTTCTTACCTCTTTATCTTAGAAAAAAAAATATATATATATATAGTGTTTTTAGGTATTTTATACAATAATTTATTTCTTATTTTAGTCCACCAGATATCCCTGAACATCTAACATCTTCACATGATTATCATCGATTACCATCAATAACATCGATGACATTAAATCAAAATGATACAACAAATATATCAACACATACTTTAAATAATGATGAACATAATGGATCATTTGAAGATGAAGATATTGATGATGAACAATTACATTCTGTTGATCATCCTGATAGTCAATATCAACAACAATTGAATGGTGGAACAATTATTAAAGCTTATGCACTCTATGATTTTAATGGTAAGAAAAAACTTGTCAGTGACACCTTTTTAATGTTAAAATAAGAAACTCGTACGTGTTCGTTAGTCCTATTATACTATAATAAAATACATATAGTGAAAAATCTCTATCAGATGGATGTATTTTCAAGGATAAATCTCAACACACTTTTATATAATTCGATAAGATCAAACACAGTGATATTGATTATATCCCAAACTGATTAACTTGATTAGTTCATGCTTTTTTATGTTAATCATATTACAGTTATGGTAAATCAATGCATCACGGCTTATCAACTTTTCTCGAACTATCTAAATTTGATGCCATTCAGCAATTTATTCCGTTGCTAAGAAACTTGTTGTCATCGATTGCTATGGAAACGTACTTCATCAACACTGATCTTCTTCTCCCACATGTCGCTAGAGAAAGATACTCATTAATCTTTGATATCCGTTACTATGAGATGGCAAGGAGTAGCAAAACCTTAACTTAAAACCTACATTCATTATATTTTCTTCGAAAAGTATAATGTTAGTTTTTTGATGATGTCTGAATTTTTACAAAGATAAGATTTTCATACTGTATAAACTATAGTTTGTATATGCTGTCATTGATAAGTACTGAAATAAATCGTTCGAATAATTTTTTTTCCAGTAAAATATTCTTCAATAACTCAATATTTAAAAGTGACTTTATTTCTTATCTAAAAAAATTAAAATTATAATAAAATTCAGTCTTTTTTTTTCTCGATTTTTTTTTAGGTCATGGCCTCAACGGTTGTCAATATGTAAATGCAGCATCCATATTTGTTGGTGAATATGTTGATATATTAGAAGATGATCAAGGTGATGGATGGACTCGTATACAAAAACAAGACGGTTCAAGTGGTTTTGTTCCATCATCATATCTTCGTATTGAGTCTCAACAACATACCACAGCATCACATCAAATTGATTCCGGCCGTTTTTGAAAAAAATATCTTTCTTTTTTTTCCGTATCTTTCGTTCTTTTTTTTTCTACATATATATATATATATACATACACACACATACTGCTCACTAATGTATCCCAGTTGACTAAAACTAAGGAAAAAAAAACCCTCAATATATACATATGATTGTATGTGTGCTCAATTTTTGTTTGTTTATTTGTTTATTTACTGTTCTATTTGATCAAATAGCCCCTTTCCCTAGTCAAATACTGTTCAAAAATATTGAAAGATAAATTTAAAAACAAATGAATGTTTTCTTTTAAGGGCTGTCAGATACCGCGACATAATACGTACAGAATGAGCGAATGCATTTTTTCTTCTTGTACATGTTTATTGCTATTTATATATATATATATATATATACATAATATATATGTTTTGTTTTTTCTTTTTGTCATCTTAAATGAACAGTAAACGAATAAGACAAACATAAAATCGAATCAAAGAAAGCTTTATGTTTACTTCTCTTTTTTTTTTTTTCGTTTTGTTTTTCCTATGTAACATCAGATTGAGTATTAGAATTAGATATATATATATATTGATTATAAATCACAATAGTTTTGTCTATGTGCGTGTATATCTATTGTATCTTCCTTTATTCATTTATTATCTATTTCTTTTTCTTTATACACATTTATATAATCTCTTGTTCATTCTTCTTTTATCTTGAATCAAAAGAAAAACAAAAAAAAAACTCAACTAACAAATGATAAAATGATTTAAATTCAGACATTCTTTTTTTTTTTTTTTTGTTTATAGATTTTTTTTGTCAAAGAGAATTAAACATATAAAATCATCATGTTTAATTTTGGTTCAACATCAACAACAACACCGAGTAATACAAGTCTTTTTGGAACATTAACACCTGTAAATCAAAATCGAACTGTAACTAGTTCATTATTTGGTAATACGACAGCAGCACAATCTAATACACTTGCATCAACACCATTTGGATCAACTAGTTTATTTGGTAATAAGATTGAGAATATGTTAATATTTAATTTCGAATTCGATTATAACTTTAATGTTACGGTTATTTCCTTCCTCTTTACACTTTTTGGAATTTCCAGAGAATAGATCATTAAAAAAATTTGACAATCTCAGAACGGGTAGATCTTGAGGAATAGAGCAAAATTTATCATTGAGAATGCTGTCTACTATGAGATACTGAGGTTACAATAGCGAAGAATGACCCCTCCGGTCTGTTTGGGATAATTTTTTGTCCTTCGAATAATAAAGATAAAAGTATCGAAAATATCCTTGTAAACGGATTTTTTTAAATAAGAGCTACTAAAAATTATTAGAACAATATTTATTTTTTTTGAAACAACAAAAAGTCTACCCATCCCAAATAGTATATGTGAAAACAGTTTCAGCTCGATCAGACATACTAGACCAAAGAAATGTGGGTGTTGCTGCACTTTTTTCATGTTCATAAAGTTTTTGAGTAGAAAACAATATGACATGGATATATTTTGGAGCAAGAATTAAGACTTTTTAGTAAGCACAGATGCTTGAACTTCTTTTTCTTCTATCGCTTAACATTATTATTTATGCACATCTAAGAATGATCATTCACGACGAGATGCACCATAAAACATATGACGAGTTACAATGATTAATAAAAAACTTCATCTCCATCGAAAACTAGCAATAGATATACTGCATAGAATTCGATCATTCGTCACAATCATGAGAACAATATTTGTAATGATGTATTTCGTTCTTTTCTCATCAGTTTGACATTCACAAGGATTCAACTCATTCAGACATCATCAATAACAAAGAAGTCTCGTTCATCTTGAGCAAAAAAGCTTTCTTTTATGTTATTTTATTCCACTTAATTGTTTCAAATGTGCTCATTCGTACGATTTCTATGAGTTCATCATATGTGAGCTGCTTTAAATATACACATAACTCATGCAAACATTGAAATATTTGTCTATGGAAAAGAAAAGCATTTGGTATAGGCAATACTTGAGATTTATGCAGACCAAACACATGAAAAAAAAGGATTCGACTCGAGAAGTAAATTCTTTACAAAAAAGTGATCTATTAAATAACTATATATCTTAATTGTAATTAAATCGAATTTTTTTTATATGTTTGTTTCTTTCAGGAGGAACAACTCCTTCTACAACAACTCTACAAGTTCCATCGACTGGGACAGGTACAATACATAAATTTGATGCTGTTGTTGGTATAGATAAAGTAAATAAAAATGGTATTCAAACACAAATTCGTACAAAAATTTTCAATCTATGTGCTATGCCAGTCTATGAAAAGAAGTCTATGGAGGTTAATTCAATAATATATATATATACATTTTTTTTGTATGGTTTTTATTTTATTTAGGAACTTCGATTAGAAGATTACATAGATAATCGAAAATTTTCATCAACAACTACAAGTCTATTTCCATCAGCATCATCTACAACACCTTTATTTGGTGGATCAACCACAACAACAAATCGTAAATTAGAAAAACTAGAAAATTATATTTAAATAATTATATTTCTAATAATAATAAATAGCTACCACAACTACAACAAATGTTTTTGGTACAAGTACAACAACATCATCAGCATTAAATTCATCTTTATTTGGAACTAGACCGACTGTATCAACAGCATCAACAATGGTATGTTGAAAACAAAAAGAAAAACATTTTTGAAACATCATTTCTATATAATATTTAGCCATTTTCATTTGGTGCTACGACAACAACAACACCATCACCATTTTCCTTTGCTACTACGACTGCAACAACAACATCATCATCACCATTTTCATTTGGTTCATCAACAACAACCACAGCAAATCCTGTAAATAGTTTATAAATCTTATTAACAGAAAAAAAAAAATTTTTATGTCAAATTTTTATTTTCAGGCTGCTCCATTTGGTGGTACAACATCTGCTACTGGAACTACTACATCAGCATCACCATTTACATTTGGAGGTAGTCAGGCACCAGCAACAACAGCTGCACCAGCTTTTAGTTTCGGTATTATTTTAATTTGAACAAAGAAACAAAAGAAAAATGATTCGATTTATTTTTAAATTGTTTTTGTTTTCTTAGGTGGTACAACTTCATTATTTCCGACAGCTAATACAACAACAGCTGGTACATCATTTGGTTTTTCAACAACCAGACCAGCAACAACAAGTACATTTTCATTTACTCCAATAACAGCAACATCGACAGCACCATCATTTAATCTATTTTCAACAGCAACAACTACTGCTCGTAAGATTATGTTTTTTTTCTTTATACAATGAAAAATATCTCATCGTAAAATTTTATTTCTTATAGCTACACTATTTACAACATCAAATCAACCAGTAACAACATCAAATGTAATAAGTACACCATCATCTGTTGATACACGAACACATTTACAATTATTTCAAACAATGCTTAATATACAACCTTTTAATAGTGAACTTGGCTTTCTCGCACGAAATATAAAAGTAACAATAATATTTTATTATGATTCTAATCAATATAGAATAAAGATAATTTTTATACAATCGATCAAAAATAAAATCATTATTTTTCATTATAAATTATATTATTTCATGACGATATTATTTTATAAATATCAAGAACACTTTTCATTGCCCAAATGTAGTTAACATTCTAAAAACAAAAAAAAATTGTTTCTTTTTTTTCAAATTATTATTTTTTGTATTGTCACGTAAAGATCGAAATAGTATATTATTAATTTAGTGTCTCTGGTTTATATTGAAATGGTTGCACTTCTCTTTTGTCAATCTTTTTTCAATACAGATAGTATTGCAAATGAATACTTAGAGACTCGTGTTCGGAAAATTTTCAATGATATCGAAACTTGTTTTTCTTTTAGTTAGTTTCTGTACAATGAAGAAAAACTAATTTGATCTGTTATTTTTGATATTCGAAGGTGTAATGTTTTTGTCACTTCTACAAGAACTAATTAGAATGAAAATATTATATTTTCTTCATGTCTCGTTTAACTAGTATATCATTTCATATTCTTGATAAATAAGAAAATCTGCAAGAGACTAGGCTTTTTACTATTGTAATAATTGAAATTCACCGGAATAATATATTTTTAATGATAACTTTGTAAAAAAAGAAAAGAAATTAAAGAAAATATTGTTTTTATTATAAGATTAATTAGATCTCGGCAATGAAGAGTTAACGCTTTAAGGAATTTTTCAGTCTCACGGATGCTTAGCGATAAATAAAAGATGAAGACAAACGTTCAGAATTATATGACTTGCTTGTTTCATTAGTATATTCTCATATTTTGGTTACCATTTCGATCTGATAAATGAATACTAGAATCAAACTTGAAACTGGCAATATCATTGAATGATGATTATTAGAAAACAACTTATAAATACATAAGTATCATTCTTAAATCGATAATTGTTAAAGAACAACGATACCACAGCACTAACAAGATTAGTCAGGATTGAGCTCTTGTAATTCAATGTGATGAGGATTGTTTTAGATATTTCTTACTCTGATCGATTGAACATTACACTATAACTAGGGGAGAGTTTCAACTTTCGAATGATGATCGAGCTCATCGTTTGTTCATTGATAGTATTCAATGGAATTAGTTAACATACAAAAGGATTCTGTCATTGAATTTTTTTATCGTAGACAAGCTATCTGATCAAAGATCGTTTGACACAGGTTTGTCATATAATTTCGCTTATAAATAAGTACCATCTTTTTGAATTGTTTTGAGAGTTTCACTTTAGAAAACACGATTTCTTTTCAAGATATTCAATCATGAAAGAAATTCGTGCTTTTGTCTCTACCTATGAGACATGTAATAACGACGAGATTACACTCATTGATAAATTTTCAAATCAAATTCGTGTCATTCGAACTTTGACTAAGTAGCTTGTCGATGGTCAGAAATTCAGTAAAAGCGATCATAATTCAAAAAGAAAAAGGCATGATCACAAATCATTTTGAACTTTCATTCATCTTACCAAATCCTACACGTGAATAAACTATAATTATGAGATAATATGAATCAAAAAAATCTCTTTTTTAAATCATAAAATTAATTATGTCCTTTCCTATAAACGATTGTATATAATTTCAAATAACTATGGTTCTTCTATTTATTTAGCCAAATATTGGTCTTGATCGAGCTCGATTACGTACTGTGCCTGATTCTAGCACTAGTCATCCATTAAATAATGTATTTACACCTTTTCTTCCAAAACCATCTGTTCTTGCATCAAGTACATCAACACCACCATCAACGTTAGCTAATCCTTTGCCAAATCAATCGCATACATTACCATCTGTTTTATTACCATCATCAACAACAAATACGTCGATTATTTTATTTGGTAAACGTAAATTAGCTGATTCATTTCTCGATGATGACGATAATAATTCATTAATGATGGATGATGGACCAGCATTATCAATAAATAAAATATCTAAAACAAATGTTCTTAAACGACCACGTATACTTGATATGAATAAAGTTCGTTCAGTTGTACTTGGAGGTGGTAGTGATCATAGTATTGGAACAGGAAATAATGAAATTATAACAAAAGAAGAAAATTTTTCTGATACATTTGTTGTTAAATCAACATCAGATAATTTATCTGGATGGAAAAAATTTGCAACTTATGATGCATATTTAGCATCAAAAAAACAACAAATTGAAAATATTAAAATATCTGATGATGTCGATGATAATAATAAAATTGATAAACAAATAAATCTTAATGAAAAAAAATTTGAACAAGAACGTGCTTTTCGTTTACCGAAATTAACGCATGATGATTATTATACAAGACCAACAATTGATGAATTACGTCATTATTTTAATGAAAAAGGACAATGTTGTGTTAAAGAATTTACTGTTGGACGAGAACATTATGGTTCTGTAAAATTTCAAGGTTCAAAAATAAATTTAGCCGGTCTTGATCTTAATCAATTAAGTAAATAAATTAAAAATAAAAATAAAAAAAAAAAAAATTTTCTTCTTCTCTTGTGTTTTCTTTTTATTACAGTTGAAATTGGTCGTAGACAAATAACTGTTTATCCTGATGATAATAATAAACCAGCTGAAGGTGAAGAATTAAATTGTCAAGCAATAATATCTCTAATAGGTGTTTATCCAATCGATCGCTCAATATCAAATAGTGGTGAAGAAGTTACTGATCCTGATAGATTAATTGAAATGAATTATGAAGATTATTTACGTAATATGACTGTAAAATTTCATGGAAAATTTCTTGATTATGATGTTTATACAGGAACATGGATATTCCAAGTAAAAAAATTAAAATTAAATAGATTTCTAATAATAATATATATTTATTATTTTAGGTTGAACATTTCTAATTGTTTCGTTTGTTTCTTTTCTCATTTTTTTCTTTTTGGCCTATGGTCAAGATTTGTTTATTGACGAAAATAAAAAAAAAACATGTGTGATCATAATCTTCTTCTATTCCGATAAATGACTATCTTTTCTTCTACACAGTGTTTGTCTATCTGTTGATATATATTACGTGCGTAAACTTGTATTACATGTGAAATGAAGATATATAACTGAGAAAAAAAAATATTTTTTTTCTTTTTTTTCTTCTTCTTCTGTTCAGATATTTCTTTCTTTTCATTTTTTTTTTGTCTCTTGGTTCTCTTTGATTAAAATAAAAAATAAAAACGAATTGCTAATGAATAGAAAATCGAATCTATAATTTTGAATGTACATATTGAAATAAATCAACGACATCTGGAATATAGTTTTATATTGGATGATTTGTTGTCAACTAAAGAAATTATTATTTTATTATATATTCTATTCGAATTGATATACTTTATCTTTGTAATATATTGAATAAATATAAGCATAGATTTAACACTTTTTTAAATTTATTTTTGAGACATCAATGTAAGAAGATGTCGTTCAATTTACCAGAAAATGATCCATTTCTTAAAAAACAAACTATTCGAACACGAAGAAAAAAATTACAAGAATCATCACGTCTTGGATATAAAAATTTACATCAAGAACTTGAACCTTTACCATCATTAAAAGGTATTTTCTTAGTTTTTCTACAGATTTGATTGCTTTATAGAGATTCTGATTGATTCAAGTAGATATGATGTTCAATTAAAAATTCGATTGAACGTAGTCTCTGGTTCAAAATAAACATAACATCATGTTTGTACCATTTTCTCACCACACATTGACAATTTGACTTTTTATACTAAATAACAATACTCAAATAAACCGTAGAGCAGTAATGTTTAACTTTAAAGACATGTATATATGTATATACATGATATCAATGAAGCAAAAATAACTCGCGTATATTTTATTAATAAATATCGTTTAATTAAAATTCTAAGAATAACTAAAATTTATTTTTGTATTATTATGATATTACTTAGATTTCTTAATTAGTTTGCCTTCTTTAATGAAATTTATTATATTATTTATTTTAATAACTTTCATCAATTATAAAATATTAATAATTTATTATTGTATTATTCTTTAGAAACTCCAATTGGTCAGCAAGAAAAACTCTTCATTGAAAAATTAAAACAATGTTGTGTTTTATTTGATTTTTCGGATTGTGTAAGCGATCTTAAAAGTAAAGAAATAAAACGAGCTTGTCTAAATGAAATTGTTGATTATATAACAGTAACAAAAAATTGTTTAACAGAAAATGTTTATCCAGAAGTGATTACAATGGTTTGTTACTTTTATTTTATAATAGAAAAATCAAGTTTTTGCTTAATTATTATTTTGTAGATATCAATAAATCTTTTTCGTGTATTACCACCAGCAGGTCCAGATAGTTTATCTGATGAAATAGGTGTTGAAGATGAAGAACCAACATTTGAAGCTACATGGCCACATACACAAATAGTTTATGAATTTTTTTTACGATTTTTGGAATCACATGATTTTCAACCAAATACAGCAAAAAAATTTATTGATCAAAAATTTGTTTTACAAGTAAACAAAAAGCAAAAAACAAAATGAATAGAGAAAATTTTTATTTGAATTGACCTTTTTCTTTCTATATTTAGTTATTGGAATTATTTGATAGTGAAGATCCACGTGAAAGAGATTTTTTAAAAACAATTCTTCATCGAATTTATGGAAAATTTCTTGGTTTAAGAGCATTCATTCGAAAACAATTTAATAATATATTTTTACGGTTTGTATCCTCATTAATCAAATTATTTCAATTGGAAATATAAATAATTACTATTAGACAAAATTGATTATTCGTATTTTTCTTATTCATATTCAATAGAATATCAAAAAAACCATGTAATTGAGAATAAAAATTTGATGTTTTCGAAAATCGATTTGCTTCATTAGAGACTTCTGTGTATGTGAGGAATCATTTCAACTTAAGGCGAGAAATAAGATATAACAGAAAAAATATTGAATTCATATTGAATGAAGACTTCTTATCTTGAGAATCAATAGAATGCTAAAGACAAAGAATATTATATCTCTAATGTCTAACCATTAGTTTAAGTAATTCAGTGGATTAAAAATTCTTACAAGAGAATATTCCCAAGTGTCATATTGCTTTTCGCATGGGATTCTTACTATTCTATCAATCATGATGAATTAGTAAAAAGGTTTGTTTTGGTTTAGTTTTTCGGTCCTCAATTTATATCCTATGAAATTAGTACTGCGGAAAATCTGGATGATTCAAATTCTAAGCTAAAGTTTTGAGCAAGGACAATAGAAACTTTGCTAAAATACTTACATTTTAAAGAAACATCTGTTTTGGATTGTTTTTCAAAACAGGAATGTTTCTATGTTAAACCGATATCTCGATACGAGTACATTTATTCTGGCTCATATTTTCGATTGTTTCTAGTGGCTAGAAAGTCTATACATGGACAAAATTGCAACTCGAACTTCGATTATCCAAGCTTTTAGCAATTCTATGTTTATAGGATGAAAATCGAGTACAACACTTGTAATTCAACAAGTGAACACCGGAAAATTAAATCAAAACAGACTTTTTCACTACTTATCATGCCTGATCTAAGGGTAAATCGTCTCAAGTCAAAAACGATTTGATAGCAGGGAATATTCCTTTGTTAGATCATTCTTGATGTAAAAATTTGATATTATTAATGAACATTTACACAATTGTGATAGACTATTTAGGCCATAATTTGAATCGCTTAAGCATCATATGTTAGAATTTATTTTTCAATTTATAAAAAGAAATTAGTAATCAATCTCCGGTTTTTCGATCATCTAATATAATTCTAATAATAGTTTAGAATATTATTTAAACATTTTTTTGTATTATCAAGATTTATCTACGAATATGAACGATTCAATGGTATTGCTGAACTACTGGAAATACTTGGAAGGTATTCTATTTTGATAAGACGAACCTATATATAAATTTTAAAAGAATTATATTCTATATTTAGTATAATTAATGGTTTTGCTATACCATTAAAAGAAGAACATAAATTATTTCTTGAACGAGTACTTATACCATTACATAAAGCTCATTCATTAAGTGCATTTCATCCACAAGTACATAAAATATTTATTTTAATTGATTTCTATTGTTTTTTTGAATTTTCATAGTTAATATATTGTATAGTACAATTTATTGAAAAAGAATCATCATTAGCTGAAGTTATAATAAAAGGTTTACTTAAATTTTGGCCAAAAACATGTTCAACTAAAGAAGTATAAAGAAAATTTTTTTTTTTTTGTAAATCATAAATAATGATTCATTTTTAGATATTATTTATTAATGAAATTGAAGAAATTCTCGATGTAATCGATTCAAAAACATTTCGATCTATTAGTATACCTCTGTTTAAACAAATTGCACGATCAGCTACATCATCACATTTTCAAGTAAGTTAGTTAATAATTTACAATACTTATTCATTTATACAAATACATCAGTTATATAAGAATGAGAAATCTTTTCAGAAGTTATAATACTAATTTATATTAATTCTGATATAGAGAAGTATCCACTGAATTCGGATTAGATATATATAATATTTCTATGGCAATGTGATAAGGTGATTCCTATCGTACAGCTATTTTCAAATGAATTGTGATTAGTAAAAATTTCATATTATCCAATGTATTAAAGTGTATGAGAGTTCTATTTTAAGTGATGAAACTGACAGAAAGGTTCCATTAACAAGGAAGAGTCCCCATATGTCAATTCACTTATTAGTTGACACTATGTGTATTATGTAGGAGCTAATAAGCTCTGAATACTTTGCCGAGAGTTTGTGTTCCTAGTTTATTTCTGCTGAGATTTTTAATTTTTATTGTATATTTTCTTTAGAATTACGCTATGGTTTCTGTAAGGATTACTTGAAAAATGAACTTCCGACTTTCGAAAGGAAGTTTTTCATTGAGATTAATTGATCAAGAAAATTCCAGTTTTTTGAGTTCTCGATATTCCTAGATACCATTCAGTGTTTTGTCTAGATTTTCTCTTTTGGAAGGACGAACACCTATGCTTTGGAGTACAGACTGATAGTACGTGGTGCAATAACCATACATTTCTCGAAAGTTAATTCAATCTGCGGAGAGGCACCGCCATCATGGTAGCCAAAGCACGAATATACTCATAAGCAAAAGTTTGTTTTTCATATCAATTATAACACAAAACTTTTCATATTCATATTTTAAGATAGAAATAACCAATAAAGATTCTTATATAGACTACAACATTGTGCTAAAAAAATGTCATAAAAATTAAGTATCTCGTCAAAAATAAGATAAGGACAGAAACTATTTTCAGGATATTCAGTATTTATAAGAGCCTACATAATCTACGTGATTTTGGTTCGAAAGCGGATTAACATCTGGTAATATTCCCTTATAATATATTGTTGGAAGAAAAATTCAATGTGAATCAGATTTTTACTAATCTTGTCCTACACATTTATTAATAGATCGTTAATCATTTTGTTTTTAGTCAATAAAAAAATGTTTCTGTCATGATTTCGTTACAATCTTAAAATACAAAACATATTTTTCATAAGAAAATAAAATAACAAACAAATTACCATTTTTTTTAGGTAGCTGAAAGATCATTAGCTATATGGTCGAATGAATATATTGTGCAATTAGTGGAAGAAAATCTTGAACAAATTTTACCCATATTACTTCCATCATTATGTCGAATATCTAAAACACATTGGAATACAAATATAATAACATTAACATATAATTTATTAAAAAATTTAATGGATATTAATAAAAAATTATGTGATGATATATTAAATACATCACGAGATGATGAAAAAAAGTGAATTAGAATAACTTTTTATTAAAAAATTTAAAAAAATAATATTTTTATTTTATTATATAGATTAACAATTAAAGAACAAGATCGAATAAATTTATGGCAACGACTTGAACAGATTAGTTTAGAAAAACAAAAACATTAATCTTCTTACATATTTTTGTACTTGTTGTATGTTTATTTGTAGTCTTTATTTTCATTTTTTTTTGACTTAAAACAATGCACAAGCATACTTTTCTTCTTCTTCTTCTTGATCATGACGAATGTTCAGTTTTTTTTTGTTTTTTTTTGTCAAAAAAAAACTTAAGCTTTATGACAAATGTATTCTTATTATACGTACACTTGTTATTATATGCAGAATGGTTATGTAAACATATAGAAAGCTCTATTGTATAAATCACTTTAGTTATAGACATTTTTATAACTGATATAAAAAAATAAAGAAATAAACATTTTATTATATGACTTAGTTTTATTGAATAATAATATACTATTCAATTGTAATTATTGTTTGATTCTTAAAACTAAGAAACTATAATTAGTAATGTATGAAATGTTTTATATATTTAGAGATTGTTAACGGTGGTCGATTCTACACTATTCACTAAATAATAATATTCAATTTTTGAAAATCTCAATATTGTTTATTTTGATATTTATTTTCAATGATATAATTCAAAAATTTGTATATTATTGTTAAGAATTCATCTGATATCGCAAATTGAATAAATATGCTGATTTATTGATTGTTCAAAATGTGCAAAGCATTGAAGTCATTTGAGTAATTTATTATTATAATAGGCGATTGAAAAATTTTTAGAGAAAATATTTACTTATCTTTGAGCAGTTAGAATGTTTTTACGACAAGTCAAAGTCAATGAGTTTGTGCTCTTTTGAAATATATAGACTGAGAAATTTATTTTCAATTCTTATTCGAGAGTAGTGAAATAATCTTTGAAAAATACTATACAACACTAAAAAGTTGAGATCTTTATTTATGTATGAGTCTGTAAATCAGAAGCTATCCTACAAAATGCACTTTTTGAATTTCTTTTTTTATCTTTCAACAAAGTATGTCAATTTCGTTTTTCCTATATAGTTATTTTTAAAAAATCAACAAGCATTTTATGTTGAAAGAAGCTCTTGAATAGATGTTGTAGCTTCATTTGGGTAAAAGCTATAGTTTAGTTCAATATCACATTTTGTAGAGAAATGTCTACTCTGCAAAAACGGTCGATTTCGACAATTTTTGGTATGTTCGAACAGGAACTTATAGGGTAGACAAAAGCGTGTAAGTTCATCATGAAAAACAATTTTTTCAAGTCTTTCAAAAAGTTCTTCATTAATTTTGAACAAAAAAAACAGACACAACATTTCAAAGCCCATATTCCAATTCTGGTCTCGACCTATAGTTTTTGGCTGGTTTGAAATGCTTTCAACTAGACTTTATTAAATGTTTTTCTGGCAGACAAACATATAAAACAACATCTTGTTCAAACAAACACACGGAATATTCAGAAACCTTTTGTTTACGGAGAAACTTGTTTTATCAATGAAACAAGTTTTCGAAACAAGGTTTTCGTTTTTTTTGTTTCGACAGCATGCAAATTATCTTATCGGTCAATTGATAGTTAAAAATGAAAAATATCATTTTCGAGAGTTTCTTATACAAAGTAAAATGAACCTATTATTTACGCAAGTTTGGGTAGATTTATTGTTAATTAAAATAAAACTTAAAAACAAAAATTAAGCAGAATCTTTTTTCTTTAAAATTTCATTTTACTGAAAAGAAAAAGAGAAAAGATAATCATGCAAACAGATGTAGGATAAGAATGAGCGCCTGTCGATGTAGTTGCTGGTGGTGTTGGTGTTTGTGTTTGTGTTTGTGTTTGTGTTTGTGTTTGTGTTTGTGTTGGTGTTGGTTTTGTTGTTGTTACAAAAGTTAATTTAATTGTGCTTGAGTCAGAACAAGAAACAAAACCATGTAGATTCTCATAACAAGCTTGAACAGCAATTGTATGTTCAACCCCATCTCCATATTGTGCAGGTACTTCATATACAGTTTGATTTTTCGGTATATCATCCGCAACTAACTTATTATCAATAGTTATTTTATACTTAGTAACTGAGCCCTCGATTGTTGGAGCTGACCAAGTTACGTGAATACCATTGGGAACTGATGATTGTTTAACATTTTGTGGTGCTGATGGAGTACCAAAATCAGTCTTAATATCATATGACTTAGTGACATCATTATCAGTGGCTTTACAAATTAAAGTAAATTTGTATTGTGTATTCGGTTCAAGATTGAGAATCTTCGCAGAGCCTATATCTGGCTTTACTGTAAGAAAAACTAAAGGTTGTGCATTAACTTTTGCTGGATCAACAGTCACTTGACATGAACATGATGGTTCTGGACATTCTGTTACTTTTGCCCATAATCTATAAATATAGGTGAACAATAATTAGATACATGAGAAAATAAAGATTAACTAACTCGACATGAGTATCATAAATTGTAGAAGAAGCATTAACAATATCAAGAGGAGGCTTCGCCTCGAAGTAATTGATCTTTGTTGTTGTTGCATATGTAATTATAATGAATAAAGTGCAGACGATTAGTTGTCGTTGATATCCTTGCATGTTTCTCACACGTAACTTATATTGAAAAAGAATGATAAGAATATTTGATGATCGAGTCTTTTTATCTTCATATTTTCAACAATTGAAAGAAAGAGAGAGAAAGAGAGAGAGAGACAAGGTCTATTTTTTCAATAATATTGACATACAAAAAAATATGAATAATCCAAGAACAATATCATATGATTAACACAAATATTAGCAAATAACAATGTCAGTTGTTCCATATGTTTCACAGAAAACATTAATATTAAATATTGAACAAACCAATGATACTATCTATCTGTCATTTTATTATTTTTTTCTTAATTTAAAAATATCTTACGAAATATTTTAATTCTAAAGTTAGAGAAAAAAGAAGAAGAAAGCATTGGTTGAGGAATAAAATCACATCTTTATTTTTTCTCACCACGATGAATAAACTTATGCGTGATTGTATTCGAGCTATATCTTTCGATTTGATTTTTTTCAATGCAACACTATAATCAATAATAAGAAAGATTTTTACAAAATAGAAATGAAATTTAAGAAACATTTTCTACATAGAAGCCATTCTACGTAAGCCACGACCACCTTTCGTAGAAGCTGTTCAATTGACGATCGCTGATTGGACTGGTTTTTATATATGTGATAGAGATAAACCTTTGATGAATTGCTACGCAAGACGTTTCAAAAAATATTGTTCCATTCTTGAGATATTTAAATTGCTCTGAGGATACTCTCGTACAAAGAATAACGTTCTTTGCGAATTTTTATGCCACCGATATTTCTTCAAGAATACACCCATTTGACCTGAAACTTTCACTAAAGATTTTTCTTAGATTATGATGTTAATTGGACAAGACTACGAAGTGCATGGTAAAATTGCCATTTTTCAGTATTTTGTGCGTAGATCTATATCAAGAACGACTTATCTTAGGAAACAATAATTTTGACTACAGAGAGATCTCATTAAGTACTAAGCCTCAAAACAGTTTCAGCTCTCTAGCTAGTTCTTATGGCTCACGAGACGATTGTCAAAAACGTGATTTCGACCAAAATCATAGTTTTGAAAACGGCTAATCTAGAACAAAATCAGAACTATAGAGGTCTGATCTTTATGGTTTTAAACTACACGCTTAGTACTACAAGGTCATACAAGAATTGTTATGAAACGTTCTTGGATATGGTGCAGAGCCTTATGGGAAGATGAGCCTAAAATTGACTTTTTCCCTGCTTAACTGATTTAGACTTGTTTAGGAATTATTAAAAAAACGTTACATGGTATGAAGGAAGTTTTTGTTCACAATACATCAGTCCATGATTCTCTAATAATTGAGTTATCTAACTGTTTTGGCAAAAACTTTTCTACTCAAAATCCTAGAGGGAAGTACGGCAAAATTTTCTCTATGATATTCGTTGCTTCTCTCTATCTTTCTCGATTGACGGTAATTCTGACATGGTAGCCAGTATCAATAAATATTTTCTATTATCTTTCTTCATTATATTTTTCTATGCGAATATGTATACTGATTAAAATGAAGAAGGCAACCCAAGAAGAATATCTACAAGAAAGCAGTGATACTATTCATTCCTGTGATCGACCCAGTGTATATTATATACTACCAATTGTTATCATATATCTTTCTTAACAATTCGTATAGATCGCGTCTAATGAATTATCATCAAAACGCGCATTTGAAATGTAGAAAGTAGTTAATGATAAAATTGACTTTGATCAAACTAGTATGTGGAGCTTCATTTATTTGATACAGTATATGTTTAATGAGTCATGTTTTTATTCACATCCAGGTCGAACATGCACGCTCGTAAACGTTCGTTTACGAAGCGAAACGACCAGAAACGAATTACATATACGAAGGTCGTAAAAACAATACGGAATGATTAAAATTAAACCGTATCTGCTTCGTATACGGCTGTATATCAGCGTGAGCGATCGTATATGACCGTTGTATGTCCAATTTTCGGAATTCATAGCAAAAGCGGGTAAGTTTGATTAGAGGAATCAAAGAAAACACTCTATCTTTCGGATAGACCCCGATAATGCTTTGCACAAATTCATTTGATTCCTTCTGTCTAATTGACGATATGTTTTTAAATTTCTGTCTTGTATCAACGTACAGATATCGCGAAAATTCGAGAGCATTTATGTGCCAGCTAGTGGTAACACTGCCCCAAGAGAAAACCAGCTATTCTTAACAGAATTCAGACAACACGATGTCAAGCTTTCAAAAGACTTCAATTGGTTGTAAAAGGTTTCGAAAGATTTCATGAAACTTCAAGACGGTTCGAACTGTTCTTCCTAGCACTACTCGCAGCTGAAACAAGATTACTGTTCAGCTGCGTGATAAATGTGCATTAGAAAAGACTAAATACAGATATTAGTGTAGTGCAGATGGTACTCAACAGAAGGTAAAGGCTATAGAATACTAATATAGAGTAAGGATGCAGCAGAGAATATCTAGGCATCGAATAAGAGAGCTATGACAGAAATATTGATAGAGAGTATTCATATCACATGTACTATAAAGTAGTGGTTCTATGTACGAGGTACATATTGGGACTTTTTAAGTCGACAATATAGATTTGAACTAATGTCATACGATAGTAACTAGAAACAACGGTAAATTTAATTTTTTTTTCTTTATTTCAGATCCTTGCATTGAATAACCATAGTGAACAGTAAGTATAAATTCTTATATTTAAATTTTTTTACTTATTTTAGATCATTTTTATGGCGTAAAGTCAAGAGACAGTCAGGATGAATTTTCTTATCTAGTTTTCATTATTTGAACTCGTTTTACGATATACATTCACGAAACAGTAAGTATAATTTTTTTTTATTTCGTCATTTTATTTAGTGTAGTTCACCCAATGATCTATAATCAAGTAAAATTAAGTATAAATTTATTATTTAATTTTTTTATTTATTTAGTTCCTGGTTACGATAAAAAGATAAAGCAAAAGTAAGTACATATTCATATATTAATTCTTTTATCTATTTTAGTTCATTTTATTAGATAAACTAAAGTAACAGTAAGTATTTTTTTTTGTGTAATTTTTTGGCTTTCTTTTAGATCGCTTTATAGTATCCATTGTCACGAAAATCGTCTCGACTTGGTCGATTTATATGAAATCGGTGCAGAAATCGCGATTTTCCAGCTTCATTCCCGTAGTAATGAGTTAAAAAAGAATTGCCGATTAATTGTGCACTATATTGCGATTCAGCGCATGATTAATCAGCAACTTGCTTCGCTTATTCCTATCAGAATGAAGCAGGAAAAATGCGATTTACTCATTGATTTTGATAAAAATCAGCTAACTTGTAGCGATATTCGTGATATAGGATGACGGTACAGATAATCAATTTAGCATAATACACAGCAAAGATATCCATAGTGTACCGTACACTGTTAAAATACAGTCGTTTACGACCGTATGCGATCGAAATATGATCAGAAACTCTCCGTGAACGACCACCGTTTTGCTCCATATTTATCTGTATACGATCGTAATACTGGATCATGTAATACGGTGAAATACGGAGTTCGTAACGCTCGATCTGGGCAGTTAAGGCTATTCCAATGCTTGGTATTAAAGCATCAATGTCATACACTGAAGATTTATTTTGTCCAGCTGATGTTGATAGTGAATCTTTTTTTAATTCAAATTTTGATATAGACAAATAGTAAAGTATTCTATTTTTCTAGTTGTTGATCGAATTAATCTGGAATCTTTTATTAATTTAGTACAACAGCTGCAACGAAAGTTAATGGATGATGAGGACAATAAAGAGTCTGTAAGTGTACAGTTATATGTTAAAATGTAATTGACCAGTTGGCCGACTATTGAGTGATAAAAAGGAGAAAGAAAAGATGGACACTATATAATCCTATTCATTGACATAGTGATGCATCGTTATTATGCAGTAGCATACGTGAGTTCTTTAGAATATTAAGATGACCTAGAGAATGTAAGATATTTGAAATATTGTTTTCAGTAGTTTTCATCTTTGTTATTGAAACGATTTTCTTTTTTTATAGGATGAAAAAAGTGTTGCACAATCGAATAATGATTTAGCTAAAGCTTTTGAACAGGTCAAATTACTTGCAAACACAAAAGGATTCGTAATAGCAGCTGATATCGATGCAATCGAAAAACAATTTACTGGCAAAGAATGAATAAAGAATACTGCTCTTTGGTAAACATGAATCGAACATTTTTATTTGTTCATGGCTGTACTTTTTGTGTGATGCACTTCGACGCGTTGTGTGAACACCAAGTCGATAAAAGTTCTTGTTTTTTTTCTCTCTGTCAAAACTTATTTTTAGTACAAGAATAAAACAGCTGTGCTCAACAAAGCATATATAAATAATCGTGAAAATAAAGGTGCACCTGTATAGTGAAATATTATCTGTTATTCTCTCTCTCTCTGCTCATTGACAAATTCATTTTCATAAGTCATAAACAGTTTTATTTAATTTAGTAGATCTATTCATTTGATAAAGAAGGACAGTTTTAGTCTTGTAAAAATGAAATTTTTTAAACCAATTATAATTTCATTAACTTAGAAGTCAGTCAAATCTCATATTAATTCTTTTAAAATACACCAAAAAATATGCATGCCATTATTGACTATTTTATTTGTTTTCATCTTCTTTATTCTATTTGCATAGGAATATGATTGTCACCGCTTTTTGTTTGTACTATGTTATGTTCATCGGCTTTTCTAGTGTAACAATTATTTCATGCATATAAGTGATGAATAACAGCATAGGTATGATATCAATATGAGTCATTCCACGTAAGCCATGACCGAACCTGTTCAATGAATGATCATCGACTGGACTGATTTTTATATATATGATAAGGACAACCCTTCGATGAATTGCTACGCAAGACGTTTCAAAAAATACTGTTCCCTTCTTGAGATATATAAATTTCTATGAGAGTGCTCCCGTCAAAAAACACATTTTTGCGGTTTTTTGTGACATCGATAGATGTGCTGAACAATATATCCGTTTCACTTGAAATTTTTACGATGCATAGATATCATGATTCTGTACGATAGAGAATCATAGGCTGATCTATTGTGAATAGAAACTTTCTTCACACCATGTTGTATTTTTAATAATTCATAAACAAATCTGAATCAATTAAACATGTAAAAAGTCAATTTTGGACTCATCTTCTCATAAGACTCTGCACAGTATCCTAGGACGCTTCATAACAATTCGTTCGTGATTTTGTAGTACTAAGTGTGTAGTTTAAAACCATAAAGACCAGACTTCTATAGAACTAATTTTGTTCTAGATGGGTCCTTCCAAAAACCGTAATTTTGGCTAGCATCATATTTTTGACGATGGTCTCGTGAGCCATAAGAACTAGCTAGAGAGCTGAAACTGTTTTGAGACTTAGTATTTGATGAAATCTCTCTGTAGCAAAAATATCAGCCCTCTAGCATGATTCGTTCAATCAAATATGTAAATGCACAAAGTACGGAAAAGTGAAATTTTTTCCATGTATTTGGTAGTCTTGGTCAACTTATCAAAGGTCCATCCATTTGAGTTATTTTTTTGTTCAGTAATACAGAATCATGATACCTATTCATCGTAAAAATTTCAAGCGAAATAGATATATTGTTCAGGATATATATTGATGTCCCAAAACATTGCAAAAAGTGTCATTTTGTGACGGGGTACTCTCTCAGAGAAATATAAATCTCTCAAGAACGGAACACTATTTTTTGAAAAGTCCTGCGTAGAAATTCAACAAACATTTGCCTCTATGACATGTATAAAAATCAGTCGAATCAGCGATTATTGATTGAGTCGGTTCGATCGTGGCTTACGTGGAATGGCTCGTAGATAAAATAATCATAAATAGAATATATTTGATTTTATGACGATAGTTTTACTATCTTCCTATAACATAATTTTTATTGAATTAGATTCATATTTAATCTCTCTAAGTTTAGTGGTGTTAATGAGAAAATGTTTTTTGGGAATATTTTGGTATTGTGATATGATAATTATAAATAAATAAATTTATATAAGGTTTCTGTATGATCAAGATTCATTATATGATTGTGTATAGTCAAGTTTCAGAAATCTTGTATGTTTTCATTTAACTTCAAATTCATTATTTATCTTCAAGTGATTTTTTTTTTATGAGAAATTATAGATAATTATTGACCCTGATCCATCATCATATGGTTTATGCTCTGACATCTGCTCCATTCTTGTTCTTCTAGTTATTGCAAAAAAAAGAGTCATTTTTATAGTAGGCGGATCGTGAGATGAGAGAAAAAGAAAGAGAACAAATGTGTATTTATGTCCGATGGCGAAAAAAAGTCATTCACAGTGAGTAGAATTTACTGCAAGGGAATTGGTCGCCGCTATACGTCTGACCGTTTGTTTGCTTGTGTTCGATGATGTACGAACAAGGCATAGAGCGATGAACTCTCAACTACAGAACGCGCAGAATAAAATGCAAACATGTACACTCACGCACACATATATATATCTACTTTCTTTTTTTCCCATTTTTCTTTATCATTAATGTGTGAACGGCAGAAAAAGCAAAAATTTTGTTTCTGTTTTTGAAAAAATTTGTGAATATTTTATAAGATTATATTAATTAACACGATCAAATGAGTATCTACCGTAATGTCAAATGTGTAGTTGTCGGTGATGGTGCTGTAGGTAAGACTTGTTTACTAATGTCATATACCACCAATGCTTTGTAAGTATTCTTTTTCTTATTACATTCTATTTATAAGTTATTCTTTAATTCGATGTTTTTTTTTCAGTCCGGGTGAATATATCCCAACAGTGTAAGTGTAAAATAACCTATACAATAGCGTTCAATTGATATTTTTTTTTTTATCTATAGATTTGACAATTATTCAGCCAATATAATGGTCGATAATGAACCAGTTAATCTTGGTTTATGGGATACGGTAAATAGTGTATTTTTTACCTTTTATTTTTATATACACACTTATTTTCTTTATTAGGCTGGTCAAGAAGGTATATTCAATTGGATAAAATGAAATTAAACATAAAGCTAATCATAAATTTTAGATTACGATCGTCTTCGCCCATTATCTTATCCTCAAACTGATGTATTTCTCGTTTGTTACAGTGTTGTTAATCCCGCATCATTTGATAATGTTCGTGCTAAATGGTCACCAGAAATAAAACATAATAATCCTGATACACCCGTTGTACTTGTTGGTACAAAATTAGATTTACGTGATGATAAACATACTATTGATAAACTTTTAGTAAGAAGAAAAGAAAAAAAAAAACGACATTTTTATTTTATTTTTACTTTATAAATTAGGCTCGAAAATCAGCTCCAATTAATACACAAAAAGGTTCAATGATGGCACAAGAAATAGGAGCTGTTGCTTATATTGAATGTTCAGCATTAACACAAAAAAATTTAGCACGTGTTTTTGATATTGCTATTCGTGCTGGTTTAGGAAAATATCCAAAAATGAAACAACGTAAAAAATCACAATGTCTCTTATCATAAGTATTCTCTCTATTCAATGTATATAATGTTCTTGTAGATAAATATATAAATAAATAAATAAATATGTATGAATAAGTATTTGTTTTTCTATTTTCTTTTATTATTATGATAAAACGAAATAACAAATGAAAAAAATATTATTTAAGCATTAGACGTGCTTTTTCAAGAATATCTTTTCGAACACGTGTATTATCTGGATATCGTTGAAGAATCTAAAGAATATTTTGCAAAAAGTTTATTTCCAAAGAAATAAATACAAAAATACATACGAATTGGGCGATATCAATAGCATCTGTAAGCCGTTTTGATTTGAGATAATTAAATGCTAATTTATAACCTATATATTAAAATAAAAAAATTTAACTTCAAGTTATTTACCGCTTTATGAAAGAGGGTTCTTAAGAATTGACAAAAAAGTTCTAATATGATTCTATGTTTGCCAAAATAAAAAATAACAAACAATATTTTATTTAATTTTTAAAAAACTACATCACATTGACTGTGATGAATAGCAAAATTGTGAGTGTTATCAATAGTGATAGGTTCCTATTTTCAGAATATTCAAATAAAATAACTAGGAGAAAATTTCCACAGAAATTAAATAACGGCAATACTTTGAGAAGTAAGCACAACAAATTGATTTTGATATAATGAATAGCTTAAGCTTAGATATGATTGAATTGCGTGAAGAAATTCATTTTCACTAGAGGGTTACAGTAAGTGTAGGTGGTACAGAGTACAAAATGAAAAGAAGACCTTCATACACGCATATTCTCCATCATTCATACTCTCTCCAAGCTTAAATTATACACGTCATTTCTTTATGCGTTCCATAGTAAATTTTAGTCAATCAGCTTATGCTGTAATGGTTCTAATTAGTCTAGTACCAATTATATCTTCCCGATTATTAGACAAACTGAAAAACTGAAACTTTATAGTTTTTGTTCTCCGTTTGACATAATGAATACGTGTTCAAGAGTATTCTATTATTAGGCTAATAATATCAATGATGTCCAATGTGGTTCAAATCGGACAAAAACCATCAGCAAACAACGGATGATAGTTCGATTATTTTCTAACTTCCACTCTACCGAAATACACGGAAAATCATACTCCGATTAGCAATCTACCAATGGTACTGCTAATAAACATGGAACATAGAATGTTTTGTTTATTCTATTGTATTCTGAATTTAATTTTCCGTGAAATATGAAACAGAAATTAAATATATTATGCAGTTTAATTTAACAAAATATTACCTATTGATGGTTGATTTTTTCTACTATATTTCCATGCTAGTTCATAATTATCTGCTGCATCTTTATGTGCGCCAGTTTGTTCATTCATCATTCCCAAAATTTCTAACGCTCTTGTTGAACACTATTCATTTTTAAAAATAATACATAAAATAAAAATATGATAGTTTTTTTTTTTTTCTATAGTCCAAACCTTATTAACACTTAAAACTTTTTTACATAATTCAAGTGCTTCATCATATTTTGTTGCTTGAATATATGTCATAGCAAGCATTAACCAACATTGTTCTATTTCATCGGCATCATCCATATTCCAAACTAATTTTGTTGTTTTTTTTAAATATTGTCGTGCTTTTTGAACATTTTTTAATCCAATCAAACAT